ATTAATACCAATTTCATCCTATGCCACTTCATTTTTACTTATACTGTACACACTCCACTGCTGTCAGAAATGGTTTATGCTATTTTTATTGATATTTCTCCCTCTTACAATAAAACACTGTAAGACAGACTTGTTCGCTGTCCAAAACGGAACATTTGATTCATGATGCATTTTTAAAAACATAACTAGGTATCAAAAAAAGAAGAAACAACGTAGGAAAAACAAGGTTAAATGTCTCTGACTGCCTCCAGTTATTCCAGTAGTATAATGGAAATGGAAAGCAATACGGTCCTGAAGAACATATCTGAAGAACACTTTTTTTTATGGTGAGCAAAGGAAATGGCAGAGGTAGAACTATGGCAGAGCCGGACGAAAAGAGAGTTTGTTCATGGGCTTGCTCTCCTCCTCCTCCTCCTGATAGTGCAAACCAGACTTGTTCTGCTCTTCTGGGGCCACAGTATGGTATAAGTGCTGGAAAGCCACTCCTCACCTCATGTGTCTCTGCAATACTCTTTAAAAAGCGTTCTTGTTGGTAATGCTGGGTAGTTTGGCTTTTCTATTCCTGTAACCTCCTTCGTTTTCCAAACCCCTGTTGATTCCCCCACACCCTTCCTCTGCATTATAGTCTTCTTCCTCCTTCCTGACATAGGGTTTTTTTCCTTCTCCCCTGTTACCTACAACTTTCTAAGCCTTGCTACTACTTTATGCTCCTCCCCACCTCTCTGTCCTCACCTTCAAGCTCATATTACACTTCCTTTGTCTACTCAGTATCTGCAAAACATGACCCAGCACTGCTACTCTCCCATTCCTTTCAGCACTCCTACCGCTGTCCTTGAAATGGCCACTTTGTCCATTCCTGCTCTGAAACAATCTCAGTCACTCATAACAGCATCATTTCTCATTATCCTGTGTTCTCGTGACACAAGGAAATCTAGATCTCTATGTTTGCCTTTGCCTCAGCAGCTGCCTTTTCTTACAGACGCCTCTGCTTCTCTCACATCCCATACTCTAGATTGGACAGCGGTAAGGTAAAATGGAGAAATGTGTGAGGGGGACTACTCACCCTCTTTTTCCTTCATATCCATCTCCCATCCTTGTTGAGGTCACTGACTTGATCCGTATTTGCTCACAATCGCTTCTGTATTAGACCTGCACCTCTAGTTCAACTCTTTAGATGCTGTAATAGTGCACTGAATAATAATAACTTCAAAGATTTGCTTTAACTCCCTTTTATTACTATAAGCAAGGACTCACTGAATCAGAGCCTTGATTGCAACCTCTCCCCCTTTCCCCTCCTAGGGGCTTGCCTGCGTAAGGTTGGGTGAACTTCTAGTGCAGCTGTGAGGCCTTGAATCAAAGAAAGAGCTTTATGGGAAAAACTCTGTAAGACAAAGCTATGAGGATCAGAGGCCTGATACCCTTCACTCAGGAGCAGCTTTAACGCTTTCACTCAGGAGCAGCTTTAAAGCTCAGGCTCTCACCCTCTGCCTGAGCACCTATCTAGTGGTGGCTCCTATATCACCCTAATTCTGACTCGCATCTTGACCCACTCACTTGGCTTCTTGACTTGACCTTAGATCTGCCTCATCAGTACAGACATGTCAGGAGATCTGGACTGCTGGTTGAACCTGGCTTTTGCTGCCTGGCCTGTCCTGCTCGCCTCGCCTTGCTCCTGGGGTACATGGTCCTTGCAGTGAGGCAGCTGCCTCTGCCTGCCTTGCTGTGAGCCTTGCCTTCCAGCCGCCTTTCCTTCACGGAAGGGAAAGCCTGCTCTTCCTGCTCCCTGACACACAAGAAGAGCATTATAAAGTGTGTCTTTTGTTTTTAACAGGAAAGTAATTACTTGCCAGACGTATGGGCTTGCTCAATTCCTTCTTGCTTTGAGATTTGACTGATACAGAATATATTAAAATAAAAATCAGTTGAAATCTTAGCAAAGTTTGTAATCATACTGACTTCTGCATTCAGTGTGAGCAGGAGCGAAAAATAAAAATATGATCCTGAACTCATTTTCTTGTGTTTAATTCCCCTCAAGATAAAAAAGTAATATTGAATAAAGAAAAGGAATCACAATCAAAAATGCAGGACCACAAATGTAGGTTGTTTGCCTGCTGGCTTGCCCATGAAGGGCTAACACGAGGCTCAGGTCACACTCCTTTCTTCAAGATATCAACAGTAGCATCAGTAATATTCAGCATTACCCACAAATAAACAAACAGCATAAATCCACAAGGTAAGCCAGACCATTTTCTCTCACACATAGACTTTCTTTCTCAACTTTCCTTGTTTCTGGAAGCTTTTTTCCATGCTTTGTTTTCATTTCCTCCAAGCTCCAGAGTTTGCCACGAACCCATATGGTATACCTTCTCAGTTAAGAAAGGTTCCAGTTTCATTCTGTGTACAAACATGGATATCACCTGATATTTTGCAAACCACCTGATCCCAGTTTTTAACAGGATTCAACTCAGACCTGGATCCCCTTACATCTTCTAACCCTTTAAGAATCAGACCAAAATATTGTGCAAATCCTGTTTAAAAGAAAATAATTCTGTGACACTCAATAGAAGATGTTCAGCTAGGAAAGTCCTTTGCATAAATAGCATGGAGAGAGACAGGAAAACACCACTCCTCCCCTCAAAATCTAAGGACATTCAAGGACAGATTCTACATGATGATACAATAAATATTTAATGAAACTAGGCTGTTCTTTTGCCAGCTGTTTTCCTCACACATTGCCACATGTTCCTTCAAAGACAGCCTTCTGATTTTCATGAGATTTGGGAGATATACTGTAGTCACTTTTTTCCAAAAACAATATGGAAACAAACCCAAAATTATTCAAAATGACCTATGAAGTGTTTATATCTATGGTTGTTTATGACAGTTTGACAGCAGAAATAAGTTATTCATCTTAGTTAATCAGGAACTTTTCCTATCCGCTTTTAGAACTGCCTCATTTCAGAGAGTCTTGTCTTCATGCCAGAAACTGAAAACATGAACTGTCAGGATTGCCTTTTTAAAACCAAATGTATTTTGCTTCTGAGGGTAGAGTGCTATTTTGCAGAGTAGTATTTTATGACTGTAATCCTTCAGTAACTGAGTATAGTCTCCTGTGTCCTTCTGTCAAAAGGATCTCAGAAGGATAACTCAGTGACTATGAAAATTTTAAATATTATTATACCTATAGGTATGGCTGGTAGCACCATCTAACACTGTATTTTCCTCATATTTGCCATTAGAAAACCTGCTTTCAAGCATTTAACTTTGCCAAACTTGAAGTGTGTCAGCTGAAGTTTTCCATTCAGAAAACCACAAGCATTTAGGCATTTCTGAGGAACCCAGAGCAAAAAAAAAAAATTTGTGTGCAATATATGAAAAAATTGTAGTGAATTTCCATTTGAAAAGATGTAGTGCTTCTGTGGTAGGGCACATTGTCTCTTACCCCTTAAGGGAAGAAGGGGTTAAGAAATTCTTGGGCTACCAAGGAGCTGCACATATGCCAGTCCTGAGGAGATGAAAGTATGTACTCAGCATGGATTGATGATGATGTGGTCACAGCCAAAATGTCCTAAAGGGCTTTTCTGTCCAGCACAAGTCCTTGATAAAACTAACCAGAAAGTCTTACTCTTTTGAGTCTTACTCTAAGGAAATAGAGATAATCTCCCTCAGAGTTGGAAGAACCCTTTCTGCAAAGATCAAACTGATATTAAGAGAGGTTATTGAGATACACACTGGCTGACTGGGGTCTGCCAGAGGTTAGTCCCAGAAAGTAGAACTACAAAATGGAAGCCCTTCACTTCTGTCCCATGAGATTGTGACAACCTCAATGCTTGCAGCAAGGCCTCAGAATTTGAGGGTGTCCTCTGCCTCAAGAATGTTATTCTTCTGTCTGCAAAATTTGGACTAACTTTTTTTTTAATTAGCAATAATTACAGTTCACACATCCTTAGTAGATGTTTCAAATTCTCAGAAGAATCTGTCCCCACCAAGCAAGCGAGCTTCAACCCACAGCTAAGACGACCTTCCTTGCAATTGCAGCTGTGGGCCGTGCTAGTTTTCTGCATTCAAATACTGACTCTTGGTGTAGAGTCCAGATGATATAACCGAGAAAGCACCTAAATGAAGTTTGAAGACGACCATCCTGAGGTTCTCTGCAGTGGAGATAAAAACTCTAATCTTGCTGATAATCCACAAAGGTATCAGTATGTACCCACGTAGCAGAATGTGTCCTCTGTTTCATTTGGTTTTGAACCAAAAAAAGTATTCACATGTATGTAGCACATTTGCTTTGATCATACCAGGCCTAATTTTGATATTCAGATTCCTGAGACTCCTGCTGAGTATCATTAAGCTGCCCCACCACCCCTACAGCTACTGATGAGATAGTTGTGTTGCTGTGTTGTGAGGAATATCAGAATGTGATCCATAGTGACAGCATATGGTTTTGCTCAGCAAAATACAGCTAAAGTTTTTTTCAAAAGAACGTAAGTTTAAAACTTATGGAAACATCGTGACTTACATATACTAGATGTTGCATATAGAAATTTGGGGTGCCAATCATATACAACATTCTTTACAGTACTGAAGGTGATCTGGCCATATTGATTGATGTTCAAGTGGCAGTGGGAATCCCATTTTTTCCCCTTTAGCTTTTTTTTTTTTTTAAGTGACCAGATTGGTAAAGTTTAGTGATTCTGTCTTGCCAAATTTAACTGAGATGGCAGCATGATTTTTCAAGGCAAAAGAAATCTGTCTTCTTCCATTATTCATTTACATGCTGAATACTCTTACTCAGAATCCATGAAAGCTTAGAATACCTAGTTAAAAAAAAAAAAAAGTCTAACAAACTTCATATAAATCAAGACAAGTAAACTAGGAAGAATACAAAAAAAAAAAAACTTTTTTCCATAACTTTATTTTCATATTATTTAAATATTTTGAAAATATTTAAACAGTAATTAAAATACAAAAATAACTTACTTGCATATAAAGTTATTTTAATAATATCAGACTGTAGCAACAAGGTAATTTTCTAAAGAGATGACCTTTCTCACATACCCCCTAAGAGACAACCAGAATATAGGATAAAGGGTAAAACGGTAAAATTCTGCCTTTAAGCAACATCTGTGCTGATTACAGTAACCTCAAAGGACGATAACAGAAGGACTATCGTGGCCGTTCGGAAAGACAGAAAATTCTTCCTTCTTACAGATTAATTTAAATATTTGGCCACAGGCAGAGGTAGCTTTAAAACTGTAACAGGTGTTATTTTTACTGCATTTGCAATCTACAGAATGTGGTCCCAGTCTAGCAGAGTACTACAGCATATATCTAAGTATATGCTGTAGTCCCAGGCACCCAAGAAGTCTTCTGAAAGCCACTTCTGTGGTGATCTGCTAGAATGAACTCAGAATGAGCACTCCCTTTTCTTGACCTCTTACTTTTATTGCAAAAATAAGGGCAACAGATTTAATCTATACAACAGAGAGCTTCAAGAACAGTTTGAGGAACTTGCAGACAACTAAATCAGAAGAAAACTTCAGTTTAAAAGGGAATATTATGCTTCTTGCCCAGTTACTGGTCTCCTATCTCTCAGCAAGTCGTTATCCTCAGAGCACCAGGGCCAAAGCTCCATAAGCTGGCAAACATCAGGGTAGAAACAACTGGAGTTTGCCATCCAAGGTGGCTGTGGTGAGCTGCAGTTCAAAAGAAAAAAAACATATGGCTTTAATAAAGATCTTTCCAGTGAGTGAAGTTTGCTTTAATGGGCAACCAGTTGAATGAAGACCATTAAGGAGATATTTAAATTACTTTTATGTTAAGAGAACCAGGATTCACTTCAAAAATAAAAGCAACAACTTAAGCTATAGGCACTTCTAAACCAAGATAGTCTGAAAATTTCCTTCTACTTTGATTTTTGTACTCCAATTACTTTCAAGTTTGTGTCAAGATCAGCTAACACATCAACTGAAGCATATGTATAAACACATACAAAAAGCAAACAGGCCTTAGCATATAAGGCTCAAGAAGGAAGCACGGAAGAAATATGAAAGAGCTGGAATGAATGAAGATGGAAAATACTTAAAATGAATTAAAAATCTGGCATACCAACAAATGCAGTGTTCAGATTTTTATTGGTGTTAAATGTAGTACAGTAATTTCCTTTGTAAGAAAGTATACTGAAAAAGGCAAACTTTTATAAAGAGGCAAGCCTCAATGACATTCACTAAGAGCCCTCAATTACATTAGCTTTCTTTCATCATTCTCATGAAATCTTAAATGTAAGATTACAGAAATACTATTTTCTGCAATTACATCTACAAATAAGCATTGGAAATCCTACTGTACTTTGGAAAATGATGATCTATAAACAGAATCTTTCATTCAAGAGGTTTATTCCTTGCATGTTAGGATTTACAGTTACTGATATCAGTGGCAAAAGTGAAGAGCTGGAACAAGAATTGTATTTCATGCTGTAATCAGTTCATCAAAACTACGCTCATCAAATCACTAATAGTTCTGCACAACTTTTCCTCATCCTCAATTTTCTTAATCTGCTCTTTGTCTTTGACTCATTTATTTTCTTCCTTTGGCTAAAGTGGTCTGTGGTCAATAAATTATCCCCTTGGCTTTGTATTTCCTCCTGCAGTATCTCCAATGACAAATTCTTTTAATCTCTCACAACTGTTATCTCCTCTGGGGTGCAACTTTACAGTTCTTTAATTTTCTTCTCTCTCACTTACATAATCTTAAAACTGTAGACTACTCAGGATTGTCTGGCTGTCTACTGCCTGTAGACTACTCAGCCTGCTGCTTCTAATTGTACTCATTTCAGCCATCCAAGACAATTACATCTTTCACAAAGACTTTCATTGGCTCCTTATCTAGCTCCTTATTCTTGGAAAGATGATCTGTCTATAAAGTATCTAAGTGATCTATCCTTACTAAGTTTTTGTACCCATTTATCTTGGAAAAACTAAAATGTGTTTTTATTATTATTTAACCTTATTACTGAAGAGCTGACCTAACCCTATAAATCTGAGATGGATTCTATTTTAACTGAAGATCCATTATTAAGAAGATAATGTAGAACCCTTGTTTAGTTCTCAATTGAAAATAAAATAATTGATCCTGAATTTTTAACAACACTCAGGGAGGTTGTCTAGTCCAATCTTCTGCTCTATGTGGGACCACTGAAAGTACTAGATCAGGTCAGCCATAGCTTTGCTTAGCCAAATCTTGAAAAGCTACAAAGACAGCAGATTTTACAATTCCAGTGCTGCACTGCTCTCCTAGTAATTTTCTTTTTTCAGATGCCCAACTTGAACCTCAAAAGCCACAGTGTGTGGCCAACACCTCTTATCAAATCCTTTGATGCTACTGAGACATGCCTTCCACTTGCTAAATGTAAATGTATTCCCTAAACTACTATTACGTTCTTCTTCCAGAGTCCTGATGTTTTATCATCCATTAAAAGTGACCATCCTATTCCATCTAACCACCTTATTTCCACACTTCTGACCATACAAAACCACAGAATCATAGAAAGATTAGCTGGACCAAGAAAGTTCACTTTCTGCCTTCCAGACTTCTCCTTGCTAGGCCACGTTCTGTACGCTGCTGAGTATCTTTGTACCCCTTTGCTAGACCCTCTTCAGCTTCTTAACATCCCATCTGAACTAGGGGTCCTGAAATTGGACCCCATAATCCACGTATGGCCTCACCAGCACTGAAGAGAAGGGGTAATAAATTCCCTTGATCTGTTGGCCATACTACTACGGCTACATAATATAGCCCAGTACGTGGTTTGCCTTATTCTCAGTAAGAGCATACAGTTGGCTCAAATTCAGTTTGGCAAACACAATAACCCAAAGGCTGGTTGCTCAACCAGTCACTTCAAATCCCATACCAACGTATGACTGGTACTGTCCCAGATGCAGAACTTTGCACTTCTCCTTAATGAAGAACCTTCATGAGGTTTCTTTGGACCAGTCCTCAGGTTTATCAAGGTCTCTCTAGTTTACAGTTCTGCCATCCAGAACGTCAGCTACTCCCCCTGATTTAGTTTAATCTGCCAACTTGCTGAACACTTTGGCAGTCTGTCTTGCCATCCTGGTTGCTGATGAAAACAGTGAATAACAGCGACCCTAGAACTGGGCCCCAGGGTACGCCACTTGTCACCTTACACTAGCTAGAAGTAAACCATTAATCATTATATTTTGAACCCAGCAGTCCAGCTGATTTTCAACCTATCTAACAAACCATTTATCTGGCCCATACTTCCTCAGCGACTACTCAAAAGTCCTCTGCTCTTTCCTTTCTTTTCTCCTGCTTTTTCAACCTGCTTTCATTGGCAAAGGATAAAAGAGGCTGCCCTTAGATTTTGTAACTCTCCTAAGAAGTGTTACACTCAATATCTTGTCATGGGCAAAAGGAATATACGCTGTATACAGAGCCTAGAATTTTTTGTTAGCCCAAGTAATGTTTTAAAAGCTTCATCAAAAAAAAAAATTATTAGACATTACATCTGGAATTCACAGAACTAAGCTAAAAGCAGTCATGATGATGGCTGATTGACATCCTTGTTAACTCTTCTGTTCTCGCTTTTGATGTACCTATCACTTCTCTTCTCACTCTTCCTTCCACAGGCCAAACAAGGACAATTCAAACAGGAACAACTCAAACGTGAATCAACACCTCTCTGCAAAAGCCACAGCGTAAGTTGTCCCTAAGTACCAAGCACCACGTAAAAATAGAGCAGAATTTACTACCCATGTTGTAGACAACTGCTTGCTGTGCTGCCACCCTGCATTACAGCAATATAGAGGATTTCACACTATCTATGTCTGTTAGTGCAGTACTTTTGAAGAGCAGTCAGTTGATATAAAGGTTAAAACAAAAATACTATAATTGTGAGGAGACAGTTACGAGTTTGAATGTTCAATTCAAGCAGAAGTCTACATGATCACCTAAAACTTATCCAACTTTTTAGTGCAGTAAGATTAAGTGCCGTAATCATCTTCGGAATCATATTGAGCAGTTTTTTAAATGTTACACTAAGTCCTATAGCTAATCCTTGAATTTTAGTTTGCCTTTTGAAGCTGAGTTTACTGAAACGTCACCCTCCTCTACAGCATTTATTTACTCCTTCCTCCTACTGGAATAGGACAGAAAGATCATATGGCTATAGGACAATGTGCCAGACTATCTCATCAGTAGAATTGTCATGTACATTCCTGTGAAAAAAAATTGCAAATATTTGTACTTCTGTGGCCATGTCTACATCAGCAAGTAGTATGGCACGATAGCAGCGGATCTGCAGAGTGAAACTGTTGGTGCTGAGGACTCAACTTCCAAATTACATGTATGTTTCATGGGTTTAATTCAGACTACCCCTAGTCTAGCCCCATAGATTGAAAGTCCATTAGCACACTGACTGCCTCATTGCAGCTCATCTTTTAGTTTAGTTTAATCTGAGACAAATCCAGTTCACACCCTCAAGAGAGTGTTCAGTGAGAACCAAAGCAGGATAAGTGAGGACAACTGGGAGAGTCACTTCAAAAGCGCATTTCTGATTCAAACTAAATTGCTAAATACGTACCCACAGGAAGTCTAGTTCAGCCTTCACATTTTAGAATAAATTTCTATATCCGATTGCTAAAAAAGCATTTTCCCTTTTAAATGTGGCATACTTGCTTTAGAAGTGACTGAAGATCAACGCAGGGCCTCCATACCAACAGTTTTACTCTCTGCATTACATCTTGGACAATATAGAAATGTTAATTAATAGTACAATTCATTACATTTTAGCAAAGAAAATAGCAATGTATATTAAAATATTATATTAAATTATAATTATTAGATTTTATTATATTAAAAGAGATAGTGAGCAGCAGTACCAGAGAGTACTTCTCTCACACCAAAACCTGGGCAGCTAGCAGAGAAATATAATTCTAACAAACAGGAAAGCAAAAAAAAAAAAAAAAATCATTAAAAGCACTGAAAAGTGAAAAGAGAGAAAGAAACACAGGGAATAGCTGAAGTATTCTGGAAATGATTAGCAAATACATTTCTTAGTTTGCTGTGTCCCAGGGAGCATAGTATAGTTGCAAGTGACAAAGTCATAGCACTTTTTTTCTGTAAGAAATTTAAAAGGTTGTACAATTTATCAACTCAAATAATTCTAATCTTTCAGTTTTATAACTTCATTTCAAGTGACATCAGAGTTGCAAGGGATAGAAGTCACTGGAAAACTAAAATGAGTGACATTTTAGGAAGCCAGATATAATAACATGGTTGCAATGAAATTATTTGAACCGCACAAAATTCTTCATTTTTGATTTTTTCTAACATACTGAAGTAGTGAAGTATTTGTTTTGGACTCAAAACTTAGGAAGTCTCAGTGTCAACCAATAATGTTATTCTTTCTTCTCATATAGGCATTGATTGAGTCATAAATTTGAAGCTGTCCTTCTCAATCTCTTAAAGGTAAGCAAATAAAATATCCTAAGAAAGTCCCCATCTTCCCCTTTTCCAGTGTTTGATCCCATAGATCAAACATATGTTTGCTAGATTAATATTCTCCTGCAAAATATCTGACTTTGGAACTCATATCAGCCATTACTATTCTAGCCTCAGTTACTGGTAGCTACTCCGATATGCATCATACTATCTAAGCAAAATGTATGTTTGAGAC